GGGGGCGGGTCAGCGGGATGGGCTGTGCAGGAACTTCGTGACTCGCTTGGGGGGCGGGGGGGGCTTCGCTGTGTCTCGTTGTTCGGTCGCTGCTGCCTTCTGGTGTCTCTGCTCTGGAGCAGTAGGCCTGGCCGGGCGCGGCTGTGTCGCTTCGCTCCTCTGGAGCCGGTCCGCTGTGCCGGGCTAATGTCAGTGCCGTCGCTGCTGGGCTGTGCTGGGCTTTCAGCCTCAGCTCCGAGGAGGAACTGTTGTTATTTGGTTGTTATTTCATGCCATTTCCGAGTAAACTGCACTGCTTTGGGGTTGGGGTTTTTTTCGTGTTTTTTTCTCCTTTTTTTTTTTTTGTCGTTGTTGGAGTCTTGTTTAAAATTAAAAGCAGTTTTTATTACCATAACTGTCCGTTATTAAATGGTCCAACCATTTGTAGGTTTACTGGAGAAAATTTTCCATCTAAGCACGAGAAGGGACTTCTTTGCTTTGAGGGTGGCAGAGCACTGGCACAGGCTGCCCAGAGAGGTGGTGGAGGCTCCCACTCTGGAGACATTCAGAACCCGCCTGGACACCGTCCTGTGCAACCTGCTGTAGGTGACCCTGCTCTGGCAGGGGGGTTGGACTAGATGATCTCCAGAGGTCCCTTCCAACCCTAACCATTCTGTGATTCTGTGGTTTGCATTTTAGATGACTGTTTTAACAGTCTGGTTTGTGCACTAACTACCCACAGACTAGAAAAAAACTATCTTATCAAGCTCCACAAAGTTATGTTAGAAGCAAAATCTGATTTTTGTGGGAGTTCTTTATTAGGTAATGGTGCTCACACCAGTGGGTGAAGCACTGACAGAACAGTACTCTCTAAGGACTTGGCATTGTGCATCTAATTCAATTCTTAATTTCTGACAACCGGAAAGGGAAGTGATCCAGCAAGGAGAATTTTAGCAATGTCACCCAGTCTCTTTGATTAAATACTTCCTTCATATGAGAAACATGACATACAGTTATCATGAACTGCTGTAGCTCAGCTTGGGTTTTGTACCGCAAGAATGAGTAAGGGCTATAGGCCGTGTTCTGTGATATTCCGGTGTCACCATTGTCCCAGAATTGATCACTTCTACGTGTTTAGGTATAAAATCACAAATCCTAGAAGAAATGGCTTGTTCAGAATATAGCAGCCTGTGCTAGGTAACACAGGCGATGGAAAGTTTAACGTCCCATTTCTTACCTGGCTTTCCATTTAATAATGAGTTAAATTCAGGGTTGCAGTCCCTGACATTAGAGTTTCCAGAAGGTTTGGTACTAGAGAGATGTTCAGACCTGCAAATGACAAATTTCAAAGCTGGCTTAATTTCACTAGCTGTCAACAAGACTAAAAAGCATAAAGTAAGAACTACGCTTTCTTGGAGAACAGCCTTTGAATCTGGGTGATGTTTGCATAAAATTTTGTGAAGATGGTTTTCAGGAAGGATGGTTGTCTTTGCTGCCTTGAAATGCAAAATCTGTCTGTAAGGAAAAGAATGTGACATGACCATAAAAACATTGTTTTTTCTCTGAGGCACTCTGGGGTGAATGAGAACATCGGTGAACATTTCTTCACATTGAAAAGTACCATAGAACAGGAGGTGGAACACCCTGTCTGTAGTTTTAAAAGAACAGAAAATTCACAGATTCACAGATTCACAGAATTGTTAGGGTTGGAAGGGACCTCTGGAGATCATCTAGTCCAACCCCCCTGCCAGAGCAGGGTCACCTACAGCACGTTGCACAGGACAGCGTCCAGGCGGGTTTTGAATGTCTCCAGAGTGGGAGACTCCACCACCTCTCTGGGCAGCCTGTTCCAGTGCTCCACTACCCTCAAAGTAAAGAAGTTCCTTCTCATGTTAAGATGGAACTTCCTATGTTCAAGTTTATGCCCATTACCCCTCGTCCTATCACTGGGCGCCACTGAAAAAAGACTGCTCCCATCCCCCTGGCATCCTCCCATCCTTCCCAATTCTTGTAGGAAGTCCTATTTCCTTGTAGAAAGGAGAGCGGGCTCTTTTTTTTCCCTTTTTTTTTTTTTTTTTGTAAAGTAAAGCTTTGTCAGGTCTCCATGGAACTGGGGTAGTCTTAAGCAATGACTTAAGGAGCACTGAGCTTAAGCAGAGTGTTTATGGGCAGCAATCTTTGCAATGCTGCTAGATTTTTCAACAGATTACAAACTGATTTTTTTTGATATGCTTTGCAATTTTAATGTGACTGTTCTATTCTTTAAATTTGGTGCTGGAAAAATCCTGGTCATATTTTTGGAAAGTATTTCTAAGAGAGTTTAAGCTAAGTCAGAAGTTTGTCTATGTGGTGAAGGTGTTCACTCTCCTAGAAGGTGTTCCGCTCTCCTAATGTGCTTTGCCTGCTTCTTGTACTCGGAGAGGGGGAAGTGTCTTTATTTTTTGAGTTATCTGATCCTGAAAAATTCAGGAGATGATAAAAGATACCTTGCATACCCTTTTAAGATGATTGTCACACTCCCAAACTCGAGGGAATCTCTAGTTCTTGGGACATCTTTGGTGGGCAGAAGTTTAGACATGTTCTTCCACTCTATATAAACAAGATAACTTCCTAGATTGAGAAACATTTTTTTTCCTTCTAAGTTTGTAAAAAGGTATTTTTAAACAGCCTGGATTAGTTTCCAATACAGAGGCTTTCCTCTAAATTAATTCAGTTAGCTGCACTTTTCAACTGAATCTAATTGATTGGAAATAAATCAGTTGAATGTTGATGAGCATGTGGGTAATGTTACTGTGGCTTAGGTACTTCTTCCTTTTGATGAATTGGAAAAGTTCTCTCAGTGTACCTCAAGTAGGAGTTTAGTCTGGAGTGATGTGATTTAAACTGCTCAATGTATTCTGGCATTTCTGTTAGGCCTGATCCAGTATAACGCTTTCAAGCCACACTGCCTGATTTCTTGTTGGCATATAGACAAAAAAAAGTCTCAAGCCATTGCTACTTGACTTTTGAAAACTACCTTGCATTTCTTTGGCTGCTCCTTTGCAAGTGTAGTGTCATCGTAATCCACTTGGGGGACGCAAAGAAGGTAAAATACTGCCTTTTTCAGTACTGCACCAGGTTTCAATTAGATCAAGAGAGCAGTTGTTTTAAGAGGGCACTATGTAAATTGGATTAGTGAAATGACCTGTATGAAAGAAAATACTGACTTCTGAAGGCTGTTTTCCTGCAGTTCATGCCCATGATTTCACTTGCAACCCAGCGACACAAATAATTGCATCAGCACAGATGTACGTGGCGGCAAATCATAGAAGAAGTTGAGGAGAGCGTATTTAGGAACCTTCTTAAGTCGGCATTTCTTTCTGAATTAACTGGGATGTGAAACTGCATTTCCTGACACCAGCTAGTGTGTAATATATTAACAGTCATACTGTAGCTTAGTCTGTAATAATTCTGTGCGCTACTTGAAAGCATAGCGTCTTGTTGATTGTAGGTTTTAATTCTGGTTTAAGTTCTCTACAGTTCAAATTCTGGGGCTTCACATGAATTTGAACTGAAAAGGACAGCCTACAGCTCAGGCATGTCCTGTATATGAGAGGAGCTATATAAAAATGTTTTGTTTGCTGCAATTTTTTTCCCTATTCTCCATTGAGAGTTCAGTGGTTTAAAAATTGGGTTTTTTGCAGAGGACCGTATATACAAAAAGGTATTGTCAAGTCAGTTTTTTTTTAAGGCAACAATGTTTTCATAATTTTGTCTTTTAAGTTTAATCAAATTAGAGAAGCTTTACCAAGATGACTTTCTGCATTTTTTGTTACCCAAAATTTTATTTAAGACTGAATTATTCTTTCCTGAGAGAGGTGAATGAGGCTATTTATCAGACTTCTGATAGAATTTGGTTATATTTGCCATACCCTACAGGAGTCCTGTGGTGGTTGTCTTCAGTGCTTTTGCAAAAGCTTATAAAACATGTATTTTTGCTCCATTGAGATACGCGTAGTTTTAGAATTATACTTTCATTGGTCATGGATATGAGAGAGGTATGATAGCTTTTTGACACATGCAAAATACATGTTTTAAGCTGTTGTTTAGAAATAGAGTAACAGCGGTGAAACCCATTCTTTGGCTTCCAAAGCCACAGATAAAAGGATCTTAGCAAATGACTGTCACAAACAACCAAAATGGATAGTTTTGTTGGCTCATTCGAACAACTGTTTTCATCCCAGAAGTGGGGAGCATTTGGGCGTTAATGCATGAACTGAGGTGATATCTTGATGGCATCTTTAACCTCCGAGTACTTTAGAATGCTTATCCCGTTTACCCCCTTACTTTATGACCAGGAGGCTGCAGAGTGCCGTCTGCCAGGAACTTCGGGGCTCACATGGAAACGTAGATAGACTCGATGTTCTGTTCAAATCGAAATTACGGTTTCAGCCTTCAGTAATCTTCCCAAATGTGCGCAAATCATTAGGAAATATTTATGAGCTCTTTACCAACAGGTCCTCTTTGTTCTTTCATGTTAAATGCTTTTCAACATGCAGTTCTGTCAGTGGAGGTTGGAGGATAATAGGTCAGAAAAATATTTCAGGTTTGAAAAAATGACTTCTTCTGTGTACCAGAGGTAGTGGCCGGCATTTGGAAGGGTGGTTTCTGCTCTCTCCCCACCCACCCCCTTCTGAAAAGTTGTCCTAAGAACAGGCTGTTCCTGTTTGAGGTAAATTTTGACCTGGTGTCTCTGTAATCAGCCATCTGTGGCAGCTTCCTTGTCTATAATGGCTTGAGTTGGAGTTCTGTTGTCATTTCTCTGTAGTTTATCTGACATACTACTTTTTCTTTCACAGAGGAGAAGAAAAAACTGGTCCGAGAATTTGATGAGAAACAACGCGAAGCAAATGAAACGGTAAACATAAGTCTAGGCTTTTGGCCTTTCTGACATGTTGAAATATTGATGTCTTAAAAAAGGACAGTACTTCCAAATTTTACGTTATTTATGGATCCTATTCTGGCAGGCAGATTTCCTTTTTAATGTTTGATCAATTGATCTGATAGGTGTGTCTGTGTTTGTCAAGACTGTTGTGTATATCTATATACATATGCAGATACAGACAAATGTTCTTACATGTGGGGTGGGTTTTTTTTGAGTGCTCGGTTTGGATATCACCTTCCCTTTGTGGAACAAAGGAGAGTGATAGAGGTGCAATTAAAATTGCTAGAGATTGTGGGGAGGGCATGTAGAGAATCTGCTGCTTTTTTTTTTTTTTTACCCTACTGTCTTTTTTTCATGTTGGTCTTAAACCATCTGATCTTTCTATAATAGTCTGATGGTTAAATATCGTGACCTTGAATATTTGAAGCCTCTGTTGTATAGGCTTCCTGGACAGCAGGTGACATGGAACAGCACAACAACCCCCCCATGTGACTTGCCTTTTTAAGCAAGACACTATGGATTAAGCTTTCTTTTCATATTAATAGGCCATTTGTTATGATGTTTTTGAGCCACACCTGAATTTGATGCTTTATTCCTCTAACTTACTGGGTTTTACTGACACGTATCTGTGTCGGTGACGTATGAGGTGTAGAGCTCATATTGTGAGAGAGCTCAAATCGGTGGACCGCTTTAAGCATTGTGAATTTGTAACAACTGTCACTGAAAGTTGTTGCGAAAATTCACACATCCAAAATCTCAGGGTTTACAAATGCTAACTCCACGTGCCAGGCCTAGACCTTCAGAGTGTGCATTTAGTGGCGTGCCTCCCTATGCAATAGATCTCTGTTGCACCGATATGAGAAGGTGATACCCATCTTATAAATGCTTAAACTATACGAAAGTGAGAAGAGCAAATTTTGAAGTTAGAGAGTGATGTTTCAGAAAAAATCAAGTATTTAAGCTTGGCAATGACTTTATTTTTTTTCCTTGAGGCATTGTGTATCTGAAAATCCATGTGGGCTGAACAGCATTAGGTGGAATGGTGTACTCAATACTAGATGATGGGTATAGGGTTTGGGGTTAATCCCCCAATCACATAAAAACAAGTGAATCCCTTCATCTGGTGGTGAGTTTTGGGTATAGCTGCTGATAAAAATAGATTTGGTGCTTTAAAAAATAACCACGTTTTCTTTCTTTAAAGCTGCGGGAAATGGAGGAAGAACTGAAGTATGCTCCTCTGCCTTTCCGCAACCAAATGATGAGCAAAATCCGGGCGTACAGAAGAGACCTCTCCATGTTCCAGAGAGAGATGAGAAGCACAGATTTGGGATTGGGCCCTGGAAGTCAAGGCGATATAAAATACGGAATCTTCTCCACAGAAAATGAACAGAGTGTGAGAATGAGATATAAATTTTATTTCACGTTGCTGTGACTGTTTAAAAATGAATATTCCAGATACGTTGTTTACAGTGTTTCTACTTTAATCCACTTAGCTTCTGTGCTTGTGTAACTCCCACTCCCTGTGTATCTCTCTGCATGTAACATGAATATCTCAGGGAGGAGTAAGAACACCTGGAACTCAAAGGAGAGCTTTTCTGTTCTAAACCAGAGATGAGTGTACTCCAGGTGGAACTCCTTGAATGCCACGCGGTTAGGAACTTACATGACAGTCTGTACTGAAATGCTTTATTTAATCATTCCCCTACAGCAGCGAAAACACAAAAGTGATGCTGCTGACTGAGAAGAAAGGTTAACTGATCTAGTCCTAGTCTCCAAAACTAGCTAAGTGTGTGAATCATACACTGTCTAGGTTCTTTGGTAGAATTTTCTTTTAAGCAACCCCAGTATAAATAATTTCAAGAGAACATAAGTCATCCTCTCGCGCTTTGTTCACTATGGATGTGCTGCTACAGGGCAAGAAATACACCAATTTTTTTGTTTACCAGATATGCTTAGATATATATGAGCTTGTGAGACTGAATCTGCTTATTATCTTCAGAGTGCTGTCATCAGTACAGGAGGTTCTTGGAGGTGGGCTTTTTGTCTGTCTGCCCTCGATAAGGAAGGTTTGAGGGGGGCTCTTTCCTTAGCATCTCATTTGAAATACTCTGCAGTAGCTTGGTAATTTTTTGCATTTAATGCCTCTTGGTTGGTTCCTCTAAAACCCGAGAGCAGGGTGGTAGATTAGACTTTCTGAAGCTTAAGAAAATACTTTATTTTGAGCTACCTGTTGACCCCAAGGTCAGCAAACATTTCTTATCCTCTAGCTGAGGCTACTGGCATGAAAAGAGGATCTTTGTTACTTAGCAGTCCATCTGTTAGTGCTCTTTGTTCCTAATCCTTTGGGCTGTGTAAACTCTTAATGACCTCCCTGGCAACCAAATGTGAAGTCACAAACAAGACTGAATTTAGATGATGAAGGGAAGGAAAAGTTAGCCTCTGGAAAGCAAAGATATTATTGGCATTTAAATATTCTTTGATGGAAAAGTAAATTGTTGCAAAGACGGTTTTTAATTCTTCAGCTGTGTGTCCTTCTTTCTGAACGTTTAACCAGATTTGGCCGTAATCTTAGAATGTGAACAAGAACTCTTTCATTATTAATGGGGCTACATCATTTAACAGAAGAAGCACATACAGCTAATACAAATGGATGGCCTATGGAGTCACGGCCTAACTTTTTAGTATGTCAGAAGCCTAATACCCCTGTCTTCGTGCTTAATAGTTAAGCATACATTATTTTTCAGACTAATCTGCAGTCACAGAGGGTGCTGCTTCTCCAGGGAACAGACAGCCTGAACCGAGCCAGTCAGAGCATTGAGCGCTCGCACCGAATTGCAGCTGAAACAGATCAGATTGGCACCGATATCATTGAAGAACTTGGGGAGCAGCGGGAGCAACTGGAACGCACCAAGAGCAGAGTGAGCAGAGAAACTGTGGGGATTGTATTGAAATAACCTGGTGTTAGCTCAGCGGGAACTGTACGCCAGTAATTTCTCTCAGAGACCTCCATAGATGTGGTAATGCAATTGATGTTTCTACAGACCAAATCCAGGCTGTCACGTTTCTATGCTGTGCTCATAAAAGGAAAATAATTACTGTAGAAGGGCCCAAAGCACGATGGCCAAATGTCTGCTGCGGTGCCTGTGCAAGATTGGGTATTAGACCTATAAACCTGCTAAAAAAACATAAAGCATTACTGGAAAAATGACAGACTTTAATAAACGAGGAGTTGCCCACCACTAGATTACTAGTAAAGGTTTAGATTTGGGTGGCAGTTAGCAAGTTCTTCTAATGAAATGAAATTTAATAGAAGCTTAATTACTGACCTTCCAATATTTGTAGGTAGAAAGTGGTGTCCTTGGGTCAAGAAGCTCTGCTTCTGCTGTGGAAGCTTTACAAAGTAGTTCATTTGGGCTTTTTATACACATATGCAAAACTGAACTCCATTTTTGAAGTAAGAAACTGATGGGATTTTCTGTGTGTACACAGGATCCCAAATGTAAAGCTTTTAGGTGAGTGACTTGCCGGGGGATGCTGGGTTTGGCAAGTAAGCATGCTCAGCCAAGAAAAAAAGCGCACCCCTTCAGAGTTCTCTCTACTCATTGCAACAAAGCCTGTAGCTTTTTCCTTTAAGTAGGTTTTTTTTTTTATTTCGGTCAGAATTTCATTTGCCTTGCTCCCAAATTTGGGTTAGAGAGCAGGAAAGGAAACATGATCTTAAGGTTTATAGGTACAGTTTTTTGTATGTTCTTTTTCTAATAAAAAATATTATAGTCCTTCAAGCATGTCAGTCTCTACAGATTGTTTGTGAAGCTGTGATTTTTATTGTGAGCCTTTCAGGCGTTGTATTGCGGAATTGTATTAACCACACATTCCAACTGGAAGCAGACTTTCTTCTTGTTTGGTCTTTCCTAGCAAAGATTGGAAATCCAGTATGCTTTGAATGGACTTGGCAGTTTTCTTCCCAGCTCGGTCCAGTCCATCTCAGTGCAAAACAACATACCTACAGAGCCAGTTTTGCAATCATGGGCAATAGCTGAAACTGCAGAGGAGTTGTGCAGGCAGGTGTCTGTGATGGTCGCTGACCTGCCTTACCTTTCGCTTCCCTTGAAGGTTTGGAAGTAGAATAGCAAAGTCTTACGCAGAGACCTGCAGTGGCCATACATCACGAATCCTGGCTTCTTTTGTGAGACAACAGCTCTTTCACTTGTCTGTAACCTCACTTAATTACGTGCTGCTTAACAGCTGACTGAGAAATACTTGACAGTTCATTTCTGAGCATTACAAAGCTGCAATGGATGATCTATTAACAGCTCCAAGCTCATAGCCACTGGGTCACTTAGACCTGTCAGTACAACATGGTTCGTTGTTTGCTAGAAAGTGAACGGCATTTCAAACAGTTCCAGGTATGCACTGGGGAGAACATGTCAGTAACATTTTCTTCTGTTGTCAACAACTAGGATAATGGAATGAAATTTAATGAAAGGAGCTAATACCGACTTTCTGGTATTTGTAGATTAACCTTAAATTGCGTATCTTTGTATGTATCTCAGGGAAAGTACACGTGAAAGCCTTCATCTCCACCTCCGAAAGGAGACAATGGTTCCAGCTTGTATTGGTCCCATTAATTGCAGCATTTCAAGGCCAGCTACTGCCAGGTGTGTCTTTACAGAGTTGCTGTATACTTGTTCAACTGACAAATAACTTTTGTTTCCTCTTAGTTGGTGAATACAAGTGAGAACTTGAGCAAGAGTCGCAAGATTCTACGTTCCATATCGAGGAGGTGAGTAGCGTGACTGGCTTAGAGCAGCACTGGGTAGGTAGCCTTGTTGCTTGCCAGTTTCTGGCAAAAAAACAAGGACTAGAGTGTCAGATGGAACTGCAGGGAGGTTTTAAGGAATGTGTAAACAGAACATATACCCACGCGCAGATGGTAATTTGTGTTTTCTCCTCTCTGGTAGTTACTTAACGGAGTACAGGTAGCAAACACTACTGAATTTGGGCTGCTCTTCTAGTATAATGCATGGTCTTTAACCATCCCACATGATAAATTGTGGTGAGGACATGAGCAAGTTACAGTGAATTGCTGATGATGGTAACTTTAGATGCAACTCCTTGTTATTCAGGTTGGAAAAAGCTGTGCCATAAATCACTGCAGCATTAAGTGAGTTAGATGTCTGATGACACAGACAAATCTGTTTAGCCCATAGTAATGCCCCAGAGTAGTTAGACTGTCTTATGAGAAACTGAGCCTGACCATGTACTATTTTGATGACTGAAGCCTTGGCTGCTTAAGTGTGCTTACAGTTTCTTAACTATGAGGTTTAATTATCCTTCCTTTAATTATCCACTTCATGGAGTATAATTCCAGTAGGTACTTCTGGCCTTTCCTTTATACCCATTGCTAAAGGAAGTTATGGTAATGGTATAATTTTCAAGAGTAAAAGGACATTATTATTTTAAGATTTTTATAGTTCTACTTCAGCTACGTAGTTCCAAGTAAAAGCCCCACAATGTGCATTTTAGCACAGGAGTTAACTGGTGTTTTCCTCATGCATACTCATCCAGTCAAGCAACATATAGAGCAGAGCGATCTGCCTTAAGCAGGGAACAGAACTGCTACTGTTGAAATAGAAGATTTAAGCAGAATTTCCAGGAAAACATGGCTAGGAAACTACTGAGTTTGTCCCTTCCTGCTTGTTAGGAACTATTTGAATAGCACTTTGTGGTCTAGCTGTAACAGGGAGTATATTTACTGAAGGTAAGATGATGACCAAATTATGTAGAATCTGCTTTTATAATCACAAAGGGGAGGAAAAAGCTATCTTGGAATTTACTTATTTTTTATTCTTTAACTCTAGAGTAACCACTAATAAGTTGTTGCTGTCAATTATCATCATCCTGGAACTAATCATCCTAGGAGGTGTGGTCTACTACAAGTTCTTTCGCAGCAAATGAATCTCCGTGACTGAGATGAGCTTTTCTGCCGTTGGGGAACCGGACGGACTGTCTGTTCCCTTTGACTGTCTGAGGATTGAACTGTCTCATGAGACAGCGAGTTCAACTGAAACTGTACTGACACTAGAAAGACAGAATGGGAGTAAAAGGAAAATGCAGAGACAGACTTGAACTACTGGTAAGATTAATAAGAAGGTAATAAATATTTTATTGTCTCAATTTGTATATACTTAACGAAATGAATAAATCTTGGTATGTAATAAAGTAGCCACTGATCAGTGGAAAAGCTAGTTTATTTAAAAATTGAGAAGTTAACAGTATTTGCCAAGTGTTGACAATTATCCACTCAAGTGCCTCAGCAGAGCTCTATAATGTCCAGCATACCCAACACTTTGGGTTCTTAAATCCTCACTTGCTCTTCACTGTCAGATTCATCTGGAGAACTGGGTGTTGGGAGTTCATCAAAAGCGGTGTGTGCTCCTTCCCTTGTCTGCCCAAAGCACGTTGCTATCACGTCGACTGCAAGACTAGCAGTTGCATTCACTTCCTCTTGAGAAGCTCCAAGCAGTGGATTGACTTCAACCATGTCTACAGCTGAAAGCATTCCTGTGAAAGTGATTTACAGCTTTGTTACTATGAAAAAGGGCAAAATCTCTAATAGGGCTTCTTTTGCAGCCTTTCCTTCACTGCTGCAAGTCTGATGTTTGAACTTGTGACCTACTGTACCCCTTAGACAAGTAAAATTGGCTCTCAAGTGAGGAATGAGGCAAGTTTGTGTTTTTAATTTGGTTCTTTCTTATGTTGTCACTACCTCACACTCATTCATGCTTTTAGCATTCAGGAAAAATGAATTGATATTCCATACACACTTAGAGAGGAATGGTTTTTAATCTTGTTTTCTCCCAGTCCAAAAATGAGGGGGTATAAAATACCTAGTATTTTTTGCCATTGTATTCATGATTCTGTTAACTCTGTCTGGTTGGGGTTTTGGGTTTGTTTTTTTTTTTCCTTCTTTTACTGCAAGTAACTCATTGTTTAAACACATTAAATAAAAATTCCATGGCATAAGGAGGAAAGTCCTCACATATTGAGACAACTGCAGTATACTTAGTGAAAGCTTCATTTGTTAGCCTTGAATCCTAGAATGGAACTTCAAACTGTTTTAAATTGTTCGCATCCATTTTTTTATTCCATTTTTACATCTCACTGTATGTGTTTAGGAATAGGGGACAGTATTATACAAGATGACCAAGTCATTTTTGGCATTAGTTGTTAATATATTATGTATTTTGTTTACTTTTGGTAAGTTGAAGTTGTTGACAGTTAAGCTGCTTCCAACACCTGGGGTACAGCCCAGCCATAGGACTTCTTTTTCCCTTACTGAAGGCTGAGTCGACTTTATAGGCACCTCAGCTTTGACCACATGTATCTTATTATCTAGTTACATGGGAAAAACATAACCAATATGAGCAGTATGTCCTGTCCTTGCTTAGTCCAATACTGCTGGTCGACTCCTACCTGTGTTGTGTATTTCCTCCGTGATGTACATGCCTTCTCTGTAAGTTAATCCACCTAGAACAGGAGTCCCAGTTGCTGGAGCCAGTGAGGGATCAAAAGCATCAATGTCAAAGCTGAGGTGAATTGGTCGCTGTCTCCTGAGACAGAATAAAACAAGAGCAATCTCAGAACCTTAAACTTTTTCTACATGTATTTCTTACTGTCCAGGCTGATCAGCAAAGTAGCATCATGCTCCATGATGCTAAAGGTCCCTCTAACGCCTATGCCATGTCTTTTATACATTTAGAAAGGAATTTTTTTTTTTAATATCTTTGGACTCTGAAGTATCTCTTAGCTCAGTACTTTCCCCAGTAAATATTGCGAAAACAGAAGTTTGTCTTTCTAGTTCCACTGAGCATCTGCTCAGGTGTGATTTGGCTGAAGATAAGTACTTTAGTTCTAACCATCTTGTCTGCTATTTGGCTCCTTAGTTGGAAAAATGTAGAGAAATGTATGATATAATCCAGCCTTTTCTCCTTTTGTACAGAAAGCCAGGGCGACAGGCTGAAGCTTTGATTTGCGTGGCATCTAGGATGGAGGGAGGAAGCACCAAGCTTGAGGATTTCATAGACAGCTCAAAGATGAACGGGGCATTCTGCATTTTTCAGGTCAATAGCTGAAGGCTGCCTCCAGACTCTGCCGTGTAAGCCTAGCTGATGAAAAAGTGAAGGGTAATCTCAAACCTAAAGCACATTAGTTAGTTACTACATGAAGTCTGGCAACCAGTAACAGCTTAATACATTGGACATTGCTTGTCACTCAGGTGAGCTATTTAAGTGGCAGACTGTACTTCCAGCTTACTGCAGATGCTCAGTAGGGAGAAGCATCTGGATTAGCAACTTCTTTACTTGGTACAGCTGCAGCTAGGAGGGGTGAGCACACCTTTAGACACAACAGCATGCAGCACAGATACGCAGACCCTGTTCTGTTTACAGGACTATGTTCTACCCTGTGGTGAGAGGTTACCCTTCCTGACTCTGATCCTCTCCACGTGTCCCTAGACTAGCACAATTTGCTCCCTGATCTGGTTCCCCAAACTTGAACAAGGTTAGCAAAGACTTCCGTATTGAACTTAGGTAAGGGAGTGGTTAAAGTGAACTTCACTAGCTGAACTGTAAGTGGCAGTTGTCATCAGGGCAGCATATGTGAGCATAACCTAAGGAGGAAGCCATCAAATGCTTCTACCTCATGTACTAACAGCTGAATTCAAGGTACTGTCAATTTAAGATATATATATATATTTAAAAAAAAGTATAATGTATACCCTAGACAATTTGAGTTGATTCAAACATCTTGTCAAACTGCAGCAAAATGCAGAATTCCTCAAGAAACAGAACAAATGATATAAAACCAGAGGCACAACTGTAGTGACTAATATAACCTATCTCGTAGCTTTTTGCCAAACACTGGTTCCAGTTCAAAATGTGGAAGTTGAGGACTAATGGCAGTGCTACAACCTTATTATCTACTGGACACTGTCATAGTTCTGTTAGGCCGCCTTACATCAAGAGTGACCTTCACTTAAGTAACTTTCAGGAAAGTAGATGTTCAACAAGTGGATGATAAGAGTAGTTTAAAATCAGATAATAGTTTTTTACCTGCCCATCAGTTGTTCAAATGTTCTTTCCATAACTTTCTGAATTCCAAGGCGATCAATATCCCTCATGGAAAAATACTGGATGTCATAATTCTTCAAAATATAGCTGTTAAAATAATTTTAAAAAATCATCACTGGCTTAAGCTTAAATCTAGCAATGCTTGTGAACAGGCTGGCTGTGGAAAGCAGCTCATGATTTCCGCCTATTATAAAAATCCTTTCATATAAATCAACTTACTATTCAGCA